AAAAAAATCACACAAAGACCTGACACAGGACCTGAGAGATGCACCTGAACCTTCAGTCGATACATTACTGTTCACTGTAGACTCATCACATCACACATGGTTTCAGTGGACGAGAGGTACAGCAGTAAGTGTCCACAGCCACGTGTAAAGCAAAGTGGAGGGTCTATCATGGTCTGGGGCTGCATTTCAGCCGGTGGTTTTGGGGAGCTTGTCAAAATTAATGAAATTATAAACGTAAAAAGATTTTGATCCACCATGCAATGCAACCTATATAAAGTACGTGACTGGCAATGGCTTAATTTTTCAGCATGACCAATGATCCATGTATATTTGAATATGTTTAATGCATCGCTGCAACCATTGTTTTCTTAGGAAAATATAAAGAAATGAGGGGTCACTCGAGACCTTTGCACAGTATTGTACATTATAATTGGAAGAGAAAGGGATTATCAGGAAAATCCTCAAAATGTATAACGATTTTTGTCCTGCTGTTCATGATCAAATGGTAAATGTCAATACTTCAGTGCAACTTTAACTCAAAGTCACAGGGCAAAGTTTGAATTTAGTTGAGCCTCCACCAATAAGTCAAATTGCAGTTCATATCCATGTCTATCCAGACTTGACATTTTACATGACAAATGGCATCGCCTTATCTTTTTATCCGGTGTAAAATGTTATCGTCATGAGGTTAGAGTGACTGATATTAGACTGTGGACTCTTGTGCGCTAAAGAACTCATGCGATAAATCTCTGTGTAACCGTGGATAAGGATTAGTTTCATTGACCACATTAAAGCTGTAACTAAATCTGCTTTTTGGCATCTCAGAAATCTAAGTGAGAGATTATGTGTCCCAGCAAGAGCTAGAGAAGCCCATTCATGATTTCACTTCTTTGCTAGTCAGTTCATTCTTTAGTTGAAGTCAACATTTTCTCAAGGCAATATGTCACAGTGTCCTTTCCTCTCTGACCATGAAAATCTAATTAGCTCATCCTTGAGCTCAACTGCATATTTGTGCTAAATTTAAAGAAATGTCCTCCAAGTGTTTGTGAGGTATCATATTCACAAAAAAAAAAAAAAAAGAGTCCGTTCTAATAAATATACTAATAAAATACAATAAAGTACTAGGATAAATTCTACAATGAAGAGGCAGCCAGTGATCGTCAGCAGGTACTGGGGCGTCTGCTGTCGGGTTAGTTCTGTGCCGTCTGTCATTTCTCGCGGTGAGCAGTGAACAAAGGGATCTATGTTAATCAAGGCTCGAAGAAATAAAAGCATGAGTGACCTTTTCAGAGTTGTGCAAACAAAAGTAAAGCCCTGACTTTGGCAATATACTGAAGAATAGCGCTGAAGAAAACGTGATTGCACAACATTTGGTATTCTGTAATTCTAGTGTCATGACCGGCTGGTGCAAATTCAACTTCAGTATATTGCAATATTGCATTTTTACAGGTGTAACGTAATGGAAGGAAAACATAAAAGGTCTTTCTTGTAGTTAGAAAATAAAATTTAATCTATTCAGGATATCAGTTTATACATAAAGAGAGATGCAGAACAGACACTGAAATACTGCTCAGCTGAGGAGCCTCTACTCCTTTTCACAGCTGTTTGACAGCGCAACATGACAGACTGCAAAGACTGAAAGACAAATCACATCAAGTGATTCACAAGCATTTCATATATGTTTATGTATAGAAAGCAGTATAAAACAAGTACAATAATGGACAGACAACAAGTCCAAAAAATAAGGGTGTAAACATTTTGTGTATATGTGCTTTTCATGACGCCAGCGTCACCACAAATCGGATCAACCGGTAACTGCCATCGTCGAGGCAGGGTATAGAAATAAACATTGAAAAAAAACAAAAAACCTCTACTCCATTTGGTGTATCTGTAATGAGTAT